ATACATTTAATGAACATCCAGGAACAATTTTTAAAGAAAAAAAAAAAACAACAGATTTTGGAGGCTTGCAGATTAAATTTGCTCAGTATGCACTCAATTTATTTCTTGACTAATCAAAAGTACAATAAACTACAATGATTTGTTCTTTTCCTGATTTCATTTTAACTTTGACTATAATTTACATTTTATTCTAGTCATTTTATCTAACATTTCTTTTTATATGCAGCACTTCCCCAGACTCCATGTTCTGTTCTTGTTTACAACAAAGCTTTTGTTTTAAAAAAAAGACATCCAACAGTGCTTTTTAACTTTATTATAAACAAAAGAATGTGCAGTTTGTTGAAAACAGAGYACATTGTGAGCTGAGCAGGATGTATTTGTAAATTTGAGCCTCTCTAGAATGTAACTTGGGTGTGTACGATRATTTTCCTSAAAATACGATAATTTTGAGCTGCTGATACGATAATTCAACATTTCCCATCTGGCAACACTGATTGTAAATAAAAAAAGATCAAGAAATTCAAATCTAAAAACGGTAAATAGTATCATTTTTTAAACATCTGCTTTTTGTCTTGATTTAAAACTGAAGCTACAGCAAACCGCCWGCAGGTGGCAGTGCAGGAGAAGGGACTTCATCACATGTGAACATTGATTTTTGCTGAATGTTTTGCTAAACTCTGAGCTGCTGGAGTCCCAGGCGGGTCTACCAGCCCAACATGTGAGCACGCCTGACTGAAACCACAACCTGCACAGTTGTTTCACTTTGTTAGCGTAAACACAACTGTGAGCTGCTAAAGCTGTCTCCGAGTCATGAAACCGACCTGATTTTTCGGTCTTCCTCTAGAAGGAGCAGAGCTAACCACCGTGCATTTTTCTGCACATAAATCACCTGTCAAAATCCTGCACTGCAAGACTTCTGAACCTACTAAACGCAAAAGACTGACTGCAGATTAGGGTACAGATTTGGTTTCTATCCWGCATGAGAGGCTAATGATTATCTGAGAAAATGAAAACTAAATGAGAAACAGGAAGTCATGATGTTGAAACATAATCTGAATGCGAGCAGACTAGTTGGTAAAAACACAACTTAGTGGTCTAAGCAGATGTCTCTGTCTGGATCCAGTCCTGTTTAGTTTGATGCTATTTTCAACTGAGGTCAAACAAAATTAGTAAAAAAACAAGATATTTTTAAACCTCATCAGACACTGCACTATGTATTAGTTCACCACACACCCAGAGGAATACTTTAGCTTTAGCTTTAAACGCTTTAGCTTTAAATGCTTTAGCTTTAAAGGCTTTAACTTTAAATGCTTTAGCTTAAGCTTTAAAGGCTTAACATGTCCAACAAACAATAGTTTCAACCTCGTGCTATTGTGTGCATGCTTGTAAATTGTGTTGGGAGTATTTGGAGCTCATTTTCATACATTAACAGCCTTGGCACTGAGTCAGCACTCTGCAGCCTCCCTGTCCTGTTGTGGGTAAACAAGGCCGCCTGTGAACAGGGAGGCACAAGTACGGAGTGTCATCTGGGCACGAAATGTGAGGCACCATCTTTGGTAAAGGTAGTACCCCACTGAGCTGCGACAGCTGGCAACCGGTTGGCAAACATTGTTCGTGAGAGCGTTTCCAGAAYGTCTCACAGCATCTTCAGGGTTTCTCCGTTTCTCTGCCTGAGTAGCAAAGGCTCACGTATTTGTCGTTTGAATGTTTTGACTTGGAACCTTTTCAGGTTTGTCGCAGGAACGAGCTGTATTTTGACACCTGAACAGGAGCTCYACTCAGACAGAAAACATGTCCAGGTCAAACAGCTATGTCAATGACAAGTATTAATTATTTAAAACTGATTTTAATCTACCTAAGGGGGCAGATGCTAARGTGGCTACAAAGCATGCCCAGGCAGGTATGGTGTTGTTGGAGAGGGTGGTCAACAAAATAAAATGCACGGTCTGGAAAGGAGGTTTTCAAACTTWTTTAGTTTTTGGCCCACAAAACAACAGTTGCAAAAACTTGTGACCCCAGAGTTTATGTGAAATTGTAAAAATATTCCATTATTAGTTTATTTGCATCTGTGGGTCTTGACCTCAACTTTGGGAGCCACTGGTCTAGAGCAGTGTATCCCAAAGTTGGGGTCGGGACCCAAAATGGGGTCCCGAAACATCAAGGTGTGGTCCTGAAAAGATGTTCGGACTTAATTACATTTTTGGCTTGTTACAAAGGAGTGAGGTTAGTGTATTTAAAACGGATAAATGTAGTGTAAAATATTGTTACTATGCCCATGTTTTGTTTACCTGATACGAATGTGTATCATACAAAATTAGTTGGGGGCACAGGTCTCTGCTACTATTTTGTGGGTCAGAAGCTGAAAAGTTTGGGAACCACTGCACTTTGGTTCCCAAAGTTGGGCTTGGGACCCAATTATGRGTCATGAAGCACCTTGGATAATCTCCAGAAATCAATTTAAAGGGTAATAAAATAATTGCTGATGTAATATTTTCCCTATAACTATTACAAAATCACAAAAAAGTATAAATAAGTATTTATATTCGTGAACAAACTGTTTAGA